TAGTTGACCATTGAAAAGTAACTGTGCGCACCAATCATCGGGCTGACGCAACCGGGTGCAAGAAAAGTGTGCATTGAACTGGTGTGAACTCCCCGAGTGCTCTCGAGAAAGAATGTTTTTGACATCCGTCTCTCCGTGTGAGTGATAGTTACAAATTCTCTACAATTTCTTGCACTGCTAAATATGACATACCACCTGGCAACTACCGACAACGTCTCAGATTGTATTTTCATTTTTATACCTTTTACAAGCTTACATGCTTATATTTCAGTAAAAAATTGTACACTGGTCGTCACACCGGAGAGAATATAGAAATATAGTCGAATCCAATAGAGTGATGTATAAAAAAATGTCTCCGAAGTTTGATTCATTCAAGTAAAGATTGATGTAATTCGTTTATAACCCGTTTTTTATTGGTCGAGATTCGAGCCAGATATGGTAAAGGAGAGTTTTTATAAATGTTTATTCGAGAGGGTAGATACCGAAAAGAGGAACGAGTGATCGAGTGGGATCGAAAAGAAGATCAGTCAAGATGCAAAGGATGGGAGGTGTTGTTTAGAATCTTCTTGGTAAAGGTCATGCAAGACATCATATGACCATTAATAAGTCCTGTGATTAATAACGCACAGAAATTAAAGATGCACGGCTTATGATCATCAACCCGCGACGGATAGTTTTAAAGTCTTATTTCAACAAACTGGGAAACACTACAGGGGAGTAATACAGTGAAATAGGGAGAAGGCATTGATTAACAAGCGAGAACAAGCCCATTAGTGCAAACATGATGGTTCTGTGAAAGTGCATGCTCCACGCCGCTTGTTCACACACATAGACTGTCCTCTTTTATTTTTCCTATTTTACCGACGCGATCAAATGGGAGACGACTCTGGGGAATTTTACGCTTCCTTTTATCAATACTGTCGCTTTTTTTCTTCCGGATCGCTTTGTGGGGGTCTCCTCAGATACCCTTCATTGAACGATATGGCTGTGCCTCGCAAACAGTGGCGTTCGTGCATTTAATCATTATTCTTGCGAAATCAGTCTAGATAAATTCACTATCTTTCGCTCGAATTTGCTCTCAACATTCCAGTCTCATTCTGCTCTTTTATTCAAATGGGCGGCCCAAAGGCAACAACCAAAAACAGCGAAAGAAAATGCATGGTTAGCAGTTGTAAAAACTGAAGCTGAAACCTCATTGATGGTTTCAAGCAAGCCATATTTGGATACGCAGAATTAAACAATACCCTGTGCCCCCCCCCCCCAATTCTAAAGCACATTCCAGTTTTTCAGTTCAGTTTGTACAACCATTAACCACGCATATCCGTGCGCCGGTTTTGGTTGCTGTCTTTTGGCTGCCCATTGGGATGAAGAGTAGGAGAAGAAAGGAAAGTTAAAAGTGGAGTCAAACAGAAAATGGAGAAGTTCAGTGGTCTAAGGTTGCAAAGAAATTGAGAAGATGCACGAACGCCATTGTTTACGACACCCAGCCATATCCTTCATTGTCTCTAACCACCGGTTACGATCATCCCGAGGTCCCCAGCCAGGGAGTCTAACGGGATATATGTGACCTAGTCTCCTGGTTAGGGTTTTCATACCCTCGTGCCAGGTCTTAACGTGATCACCCTTGGCTTTTTTCCACTTGGTGTTTCCTTCGACGAACATCGCTCGCCGCGGCAACCTATCTGGTGACATGCGTAATACATGCCCCAACCAACGTTATCTATGGAGGTCGGCCACTTGCTCCAGTGGGCGACCGCGCATACCCAAAACTCTACGCCTAACCTCAGCATTGCTCATCCGGCTATCCCACCAGAATCGTGCAATGCTACGTAGACAGCGGTGTTCAAACACCGACAGTCTGTCTTTATCCTGTTTTCTTAATGGCCAACTTTCTGTACACTCCAGTACCTCTTAGTTGCCTTATTTAATTCAACGTATTCAGTACTATATAACTAATTCTACACTAATCGTGCAAACTCAAAGCCAATCATTCGAACCTTTCCAAAATCGATTGCAATTTATCTGCCAAAATGATAGATTTTTTCCGTGACACGTCATGAGTAAATTCGCGTTTGAATGTTTTAACTGCCGGATAAGATCCCTTGATTTGTTTCGAATTACAGTATGTATGTATGTTTATCGATAGCTAAATGGGTTCAAAGTTACCCGATTTTTTTTGTTTCATATGTCTCCCAATCCAACGGTATTTCATGTTTGGTTTTTTGCTAAAATGCAAACTTATNCCCGGAAAAAAACAATCTAATTCAGGTGCACTTACTTTAGATGGAGAACATTCAGCGTCGGTCAGAACACGATGGTGAGCGTTGTTTTGTGACCTGCTTACTGTATCAGTCGAACGGATTGAATTAAATGTTTGTTTACCGTGTTTTTGTCTGAACAACTTGTTCGATTCCGATTGTTTTTCTTGCAGTTCCCCTGGAACAATACTGCTTGTTTGTGCACGGTGGTATGGACACCGAAGGACAAATGTTCAGTGATGCATGGCTCATCGTGTTGGGTGAGAAGATCCCGACTAACAATGTGTCCGGTCGACTCACATGGCGTCTAATCGAATCATCATCACGGTTACCCCTTGGTGAATGACTCCTATTCGGAGTTTCGTTCTTTCTTGGCACCTCGATTCGTCTTCAGTCCCCACATGTCACAGTAACTTCCTCCGATGGACGAAAACGGTTCCAGACTTCTTCAAATTACTCCGTTAATAACGATAAACGACAATTTTACACCAGTCTCCGTGCAAGTTGTCCCCCTCCCCCCCCTTGTTTTCATATCAGTCTTCGAAATTTCTTTTTGTCAACTCGGAGACGTGTTGTCCAGTTCCCGAAGTGACTGTCACTCATTCCGTTCGGATTGAATTGCTCGCTTGCTCTCAACAACACAACTAGGTTGAACAAAGTATTGTGCAACCACGATCTTCCCAATTCCAGTGAACTCGGTTTTCAGTTGAACAACTGTTGATTCAATCTTCTACTTTGGCTCATGTGTTCACTTTGACATATATCTAGTGTTATACGGTTTGCAACAAAAAATCATCTCGTCTGAAAGGGATGCGATACTTTCTTTTACTCTGTACTGGATCACTTTATTCTCAGTTAGCTCGTTAGAAAGTATGAATCAGCAGCAGTAGCACCTTGTGCTGGATCGATTAGTCCATTGGTTGGAGGATAACCATCAACACAGAAGATATCCACTAGTTTACAGCTCTTTTAGTCACGCCGTGACAGATACGATCGAATACAACATATTAACCACTATTCGTTCCCCGCTACCGGAAACTGGAATATAAAACACTGCATACAATCAACAACTGTATGATGCATCCATTAGATCACCTAAATCGGGCGTTTCAGGATAATGTTCTCCTTGGATCATATAGATTTGGTTTCTCCCATAGGTTTCAGCTTTTGTAACGTTGGGATGGACAATAAGACCGGGATTAGTATCACACAAAACCCAAACAATAGGTGCGGCGGCAACGACCACGAACAGAACTACCCGATCCAGCGACCGAGTGAACAATACACAAATACGCCCGACCACGGTACCGAACGCAAATCCCAATGGAACCGAAAGTTACACCCCGTGAAAGTAGTACGATCCCTGAACGCGACCAGGAAGAACACGAAAGGCAGGTCTTCAGACGAGGTTTTGTATTCGGCTCGACCGTAAAGGGGATGGTGGACAACTAATCTGTTTATATGCATTTTGGGTCCGGCCATCAGTGACCTTGAAAATCGTTGGTCGTGGAAAAATGGACCAATGAGGATCAAGTCTGGCGTTTTGCGCGAAAATCCCAAAAATTCAAATTTCATAGAAATAACTGCAAAAATACGGAAAAATAGAATTAAATAGTCACTTTCATGGGGAGGGGGAAGGGTCGTTTCCCTATCACAGCTCACATAATGTCGAAGAGAATTTGCCGTAATTCACGGGAAAATTCCCATTATGACATTTGTGACAGAACAACAAGAGTAGCGAACAAGCTTGTTTTCGATAACTTCATCCTCTGGCTAATACAGTTATATACATTTAGTGAATAAACGTGCAACAAATAATGTCAGAACGAAAATGCGTTCATTGGACGGCAAGGGAGTGAGTGGTGAGAAGTGGTTGAGAAAGAGGTGAAAGCGAAAACCAAAAAATTATTGATCCGTGGTTGGGGAATCGTGAAAACAGAGAAAGGAGAGGGAGCGGGAAGAGGGATGAAACAGGAAGGGAGAGGTCACACACTTCGGTCAAAGGGTCACGAGAAGCGTCATGGGTTAATTGACGTTCAGCGTCGGGTCTGGACCAGGGTAACTGTAGGGCTTTGACGAATTGCTTTTGTGAGCATAGAGTTGGTCGCAATAACCTTATTGCTACCGCCTCTGCTGTCGCAAGATGGCGCTGTCGGAGGGTTTTGGATGGGTTTGGGTTTGCCGTGCCGGTTTTGAGACAGTGTACTTCCGGTACTTTTTCACCGCTTCTTCTCCGCAAAATCGTTGTTCTTCATGATTGCTCTCTCCGTTTCCACTGCAACTGTTGAAAGGGCAATGCGTTCTTGCCACCACGTCGTTGGTTGAATTGTTCAATCCTCGATTGGTGTTAGGTGGATTTCGAACCCCAGCGACCTAAGTTTTGTAAGTTGTGTGGTTTACTGGTCTAATGCAAACATAAGGTAGACTATCTACTAATAAATAACAGTGTTGACCAATGAATAGGTGGTACATTACACTGGGTAATTTGGGATGGACAGCTTTTTCAGAACCAGTCCATTGAAAAATCAATAGTATGATTCGCAAATGAGGTTATTGTGACGAAAATACATTTCCTGGGTACACGTATATGAATGAACTGACAAAAGATTACCGAATACGCATGCCTGACGAGCAGCCAGAACCGCGAAACCGGTCGTGTGCTTCCTGGGAAATTTTGTCCAGTCATTTATATACTACTTATTATGAAAGATATAAATATATATATGACAATAAATAGTAAATGAATGACTGGAGAAAATTCCCCTGGAAGCACGCGACCGGTTTCGCAGTCCTTGCCGCTCGTCAGGTATACTTATCTGGTAATATTTTGACTGATCATTCTTATACTTGAACTCCCAATGTAAATTAAACTTGTTTGTCTCGAGTCAACGCGCCGAGCTGGAAATGAGATTTGCTCTACATAATTTTGTCCAGTTATTCATGTGCTACTGATTATAACAACTACATGAAATTTGGTCTCGGTTCATCGGACAGTCGCTTCCTATGAATTATTGATGAAATTCCAAAAGAAAAACCTTGTATGTAAATGAGAAGATTTCATTTTATTAACTTTCACGAAGATTTTGTAATCAAAACATGTGATGATGGCGACGATGTTTGAATCGCTTCGGTAGGCATTTTCGCGAGTCAGTACAATCCAACTGTCTTGTACTGAGCAGCACATGTGCATCTCTGCCCCATTCAGTTGGAATCTTTCGCTCCTGTAACGCAATCGCGGTATCAATTCTCAATGTCAATATTTTCCTTGTCGGGAAACTACAAGATCGCATAGATGCAGCCATATCGTGACACGTTACAGTAACCATACACGACTGGAATTGAAACCCGGAGAGAACACCAAATGGGTT